CCGAGTAGCTGGGACTACAGGCATGCGCCACCACGCCCGGCTAATTTTTTCTATATATTTTTAGTTGGCCAATTAATTTATTTCTATTTACAGTAGAGACGGGGTCTTGCTCTTGCTCAGGCTGGTTTCGAACTCCTGACCTCGAGCAATCCTCCCGCCTCAGCCTCCCAGAGTGCTAGGACGACAGGCGTGAGCCACCGCGCCCAGCCTTACTTTGCGTTTTTGTTAACTGAATGAACACACAAATGAGCTGTTCAAAACCAGGAGCTGCGGGGAGGGTTTCACAACGATCCAGGGAGACTGCTCACATGGGACAACGGTCTGCATTCAGTCTTTTTGTTCGTGTCACTGGGTTAGTTTACTGCCTGGTGCACGGTGCACCTCACCTGCGCAGGGTTTGTGCCCCGCTCCCTGGCAGGTGCCTAAGAAGCTTCCAGAGTCCTGCCTGTGGGAGTTCTGACGCCCACGTGACTCTCTGCTGCAGTCCATTACGGCCGTGAGTGGAGAGGTGCAGTCCCTCCCATTCCCGATTTTTTATTGGCTCAACACATCCGCACTAATACATTGCTGTTGTATAATGCCACCGTCCACTGGGTGCGGTGGCTCACGCCTGTCACCCTGGCACTCTGGGAGGCTGAGGCGGGCGGATTGCTCAAGGTCAGGAGTTCGAAACCAGCCTGTGTGAGACCCCGTCTCTACTAAAAATAGAAAGACATTAATTGACCAACTCAAATATATATATACAAAAGATTAGCCGGGCGTGGTGGCGCATGCCTGTAGTCCCAGCTACTCGGGAGGCTGAGGCAGGAGGATCGCTTGAGCCCAGGAGTTTGAGGTTGCTGTGAACTAGGCTGATGCCACCGCACTCTAGCCTGAGCAACACGGTGAGACTCTGTCTCCAAAAAAAAAAAAAGAATGTCTTCCTAGCAGGCTCTGTCTGCATTTGCCTATCGTAGACAACAGAGTGAGACTCTGTCTCTAAAAAAAAAAAAATAGTGTCATGCGACATGTGGCCTCTCAAGTCTGGCCTCTTTCACTCGGCATCATGTCTCCAAGGTTCGTCCACATTGTCACATGGATCAATGCTCCGTTCCTTTTAATGGCTGAATAATATTCCACTGTGTCTGCATGCCATAATTTTTTGTTTATTCATCCAGTCAACAATGGATATTTATTTGTTTTCCACTCGTGCCTTTTGTCTGCCTTCCCCATCAGACTGTGAGGTTCCTGAGGGCGTTGACTTTGTCCCTCCTGCGTGCGCCCCTGCATGCCCCCCAGCTAGCCCCACACACAGATAGTAGCTCAGAGCCAGCACTCCATCAATATGTATCAAACGAGTACAGCGGAGGGAAGAATAAATGCTTCAGTGCTGAGTGAACGAGAGGAGCAAAATGAAGAAGGAATGAACGGCCTGCCTTTGCAACCCCAGGGTCGTTCAGTCACGGGCAAGAATGAGATGGACACCCGAAGGCTCCCGGGACACTCACCGCTACGCTCTTTAGGGTGACCAGGAGGAAACAGGGGGGGGGGGACGGACAGGCTCGTTTCAAAGATTCGTGGGAAGGCGCCGTTTATCACAGTCCTCGCCGCAGGGACCAGGGTGGAATCCGGCTCGACCCATCTTCACGAAGAGCCAAGACAGTGACACGGTCAGTGTTCTGGAAGCAGAGCGTCTGGGTTTCAAGTTATGATTCCGGCACTTACTGTGTGACGTTGGGCAAGTCGCTTAACTTCTCTGTGCCGTGTTTCATCCTCTGCCGACTAGGGTGGTAAGATTGAGGCATGGATGAAATGAGTAAATGTGAGTGAAGAGCTCAGCTCAGCACTGTAGCTGACCCAGAGCAAGAGGGATGCAAGATTTTACTTTGCATTTTTTTTTTTTTGAGACAGAGTCTCGCTTTGTTGCCCAGGCTGGAGTGAGTGCCGTGGCGTCAGCCTCGCTCACAGCAACCTCAGACTCCTGGGCTCAAGCGATCCTCCTGCCTCAGCCTCCCGAGTAGCTGGGACTACAGGCATGCGACACCATGCCCGGCTAATTTTTTCTATATATATTAGTTGGCCAATTAATTTCTTTCTATTTTTAGTAGAGACGGGGTCTCGCTCTTGCTCAGGCTGGTTTCAAACTCCTGACCTCGAGCGATCCTCCCGCCCCGGCCTCCCAGACTGCTAGGATTCCAGGCGTGAGCCACCGCACCCGGCCTTGATGAGCCTGTTTTTATGCTATGAAAGCAATAACGTAAAGTAAAACGTGCAAAAGACAGAAAAACGTAATGAAGAAAGTAGGAATCATTTTTGATTTTGCTAGCTAGAGGTATCTATTCTGAACTTGCTCTTGTTTAACCAGTTCCCTGTGTACATCTCTCTCTCTCTCTCTCTTTCTCCCTCTGTGTACGCACTTATAGCTGCGCACAGCTTCCTCCTCCCGAACATGTCTACCTCGGGCCAATGGGGAACCGTATTTCTTTGCGGAGCCGGCTCTCCGCTGTTTACAATAAAGGCTGCTCCGCACAGATTCCTTTCTGCGGCCACGTTGGCCGGGGCCGCCTGCTCTGTGCACCCCGAGTGACGCCAAGTAGGGAGACTTCTGCCCTTGGGTGGAATTGAAGGACGGATTAAGAAGGAGAAGCTTCCAAAACTTCTAGCTTTTTCTTTTTTTTTTTCTTCTTTTGCTTTTTTTGGGTATTGTATGGAGATGCCCTTCGGCTCTGAAGTCTTGGCAGGTAATTATCAGAGACCCCTTTTCAGGTTCCCCGATGTCTTCCCTTCTGGGGCACCAGGTTCCACTTTTAGTAGGTGCCCCCCTTTCTCCTGCAGATGATCACACCGGTTGGTCTCCCGGTCCAGGGGGAT